ACCACACTACGTGTCTGGCAATGAGCAGCGCAAGTTATAATAATGCTACGAACAATATGTGAAAAAATGGAGCATCTTAAAATAATGAATTTGACATGAAATTGTATACACCGTTGTTATCCAATATACGGTTTCAATGAGTCTGGTAGGATAAGTAACCAAGAAAACTGTCTGGCAATTTAGGAAACTCAGTTTGAGAGAACTCTCAATAATATATATAAATTTCAGCTTTATTAAAATGACGTAAGTTTATTTACAAAATAGTATAGTTTCGGGGGGTCCGGCGGGGGGCTGGAACCACACTAAGGGTCTGGCAATGAGCAGAGCAAGTTATAATACTGTTACGAGCAATATGTGAAAAAATGGAGCATCTTAAAATAACGAATTTGATATGAAATTGTATACACCGTTGTTACCCAATATACGGTTTCAATGAGTTTGGTAGGATAAGGAACCAAGAAAACTGTCTGGCAATTTAGGAAACTCAGTTTAATAGTTCTCTCAATAATATATATAAGGTTCAGCTTTATTAAAATGACGTAAGTTTATTTATAAAATAGTATAGTTTAGGGGGGTCCGGCGGGGGGTTGGAACCACACTACGTGTCAGGCAATGAGCAGAGTAAGTTATAATGCTGTTACGAGCAATATGTGAAAAAATGGAGCATCTTAAAATAATGAATTTGACATGAAATTGTATACACCGTTGTTATCCAATATACGGTTTCAATGAGTCTGGTATTATAAGGAACCAAGAAAACTGTCTGGCAATTTAGGAAACTCAGTTTGAGAGAACTCTCAATAATATATATAAATTTCAGCTTTATTAAAATGACGTAAGTTTATTTACAAAATAGTATAGTTTAGGGGGTCCGGCGGGGGCTGGAACCACACTAAGGGTCTGGCAATGAGCAGGGCAAGTTATAATACTGTTACGAGCAATATGTGAAAAAATGGAGCATCTTAAAATAACGAATTTGATATGAAATTGTATACACCGTTGTTACCCAATATACGGTTTCAATGAGTCTGGTATTATAAGGAACCAAGAAAACTGTCTGGCAATTTAGGAAACTCAGTTTGAGAGAACTCTCAATAATATATATAAATTTCAGCTTTATTAAAATGACGTAAGTTTATTTATAAAATAGTATAGTTTAGGGGGTCCGGCGGGGGGTTGGAACCACACTAAGGGTCTGGCAATGAGCAGAGCAAGTTATAATACTGTTATGAGCAATCTGTGAAAAAATGGAGCATCTTAAAATAACGAATTTGATATGAAATTGTATACACCGTTGTTACCCAATATACGGTTTCAATGAGTCTGGTATGATAAGGAACCAAGAAAACTGTCTGGCAATTTAGGAAACTCAGTTTGAGAGAACTCTCAATAATATATATAAATTTCAGCTTTATTAAAATGACGTAAGTTTATTTCTAAAATAGTATAGTTTAGGGGGTCCGGCGGGGGATGGAACCACACTACGTGTCTGGCAATGAGCAGCGCAAGTTATAATAGTGCTACGAACAATATATGAAAATATGGAGTTTCTTAAAATAACGAATTTGGTATGATTTTTTTTACACCTTTGTTACCTGGTACCTGCCAAAGGAACCACGATCCAGGTTTCATATTTGGGGATCGTTCTTACCTGTGTTGGGGACACACATACAAGAACTTTCACGTTTATTAAAATGACGTATGTCTGGCAGTCGTGGGCTCTTGGGCTATATTTTATTGTAAAGTTTCATTAAAATTCATTCAGTAGTTTTTGCATGAAAGAATAACAAACATAATGGATGATATTATCTATTTGACGGGCTCGGTTGTTTAGCGGCATAGGACACCGCTTTTCATCCAATGGTCGCGGGTTAGATTCCTCATTTGTATTCTGTGTGTGTGATTGCTTATATCGATCTGGGTGTTTTTTAATGAATAAAAAAATATATATCTAAGTATTTATATCAGTCGTCTACTACGCATAAGACAAGCTCTACTTACCGTGCGACTAGATGGCGCTGTGTTAATTGTCTAGGGTTATTATAAATTATTATTATTATAAATCTATCCATACTAACTTCAGTGTTAATGATATTAATAATTAAAAAAAAAAATCATAGTAACACATTTTGGAGAGGGGTGGGGAACACCCAGCCTTAATCCAGAAACATGCCCTATTACATTACAACCCATAAACAAAACGTGGTCACATTTCACTGAGAATGGTTTTGTTTTAATTTTAAAATAATGTAATTGAATACTATACTTCCTCAATGTTGTAAGTTTCATTTACAAATCTTAATTATACATTATATCAAGTTACTCATACAATATTGCTTAGCATTGTAAAATATCACCTGCAACCACATGTGTAAGTACATGGCTTTGGTATAAGGCTTGTAATGAGAATGAAACTATATAACATATATTTTCAATTTTATGTTTATGTAATAGAAATTACAGAGTACTACTATCCATCAGATAATAATCATCGCCTATATATTATAAATAATAAGTTAAGCCAATTCATTTCAATTGAATCTGTTTACAAAACTGAATGTTAGGAATATTAAAATATAATATAAAAAAAGTTGACAAAAAATATCCTACATGAATACATTATTCTTGATTTGATAAGCATACCATGTGATAGGGATACTAAAGAACTAGCCTAAATTACTCCTTATTACGTCAGTTTCCTGCCAAAAAAAGTCCCATCAAAATCGGCCCAGCTATTTCAGAGATTAGCCGAAAAAAACAGAGACAAAAATTGTAAAATTGTTATTTTGGTGTTTTTACCATATTTATATTCACATACATGTTGTAAGAAACAGTTATTTCAATATTACAAACAGACACTCCAATTTTATTTATATGTATGTATAGATATATAGATAATGTAATATAATTACACACTAATGGTTCCTAATTATTGAATTAAAATAGTTATAAACTTATATGTTCCCTAGAAAAGCTAATATATAGGTTCTGTTGTTAATAAGGGTCCAAACTCAAAATTATTTATTAACACACCACCCTCCAGTCTCTCATACACATAGCACCATCTAGTTAAACTAGCTACATGAGAAGAACAGGCAAGAAACTCAAATGGTATATTTTTAATGTTATTATCTATCCTTGCCTTTATCATGGTACCAAAGTAAAAAAATACCAATCTTTTACAAATACTGCTATTACGCTGTTCCAATGGATTTTATAAAAAGGCAAATAATTTTATTGCAAGCTGACTATAATAGACAGTACATACATATCAGACATAATAGACAGTTTAGCATTAAACAAAGCAGCACCCACGAAAGACCTCTCAGTTTATTGAATATTTTGTTTAATACCATGAATGTTTAATTTGTTTTTCGTCAAGTACAAATAGAATACTGGACAAATCATAATCTAAGTTGTACACATGAATGTTTAATTTGTTTTTCGTCAAGTACAAATAGAATACTTGACAAATCATAATCTAAGTTATACACATGTTGCAAACTCTTTGCACATTTTTATATATTTATTTTTCTACCAATTTTAAATGTATTTTCTTTTAGAATTGTCATATATTTTATTGTCACTTTTTGCCTACAACCGTTTGTACACGTACCTATCTTCATTATAAGTATTTTCCATTTTCTATCCATTGTTTGATTTACATTACACATACAGTCCACTCATTCTATCACCTACAACACATATAATTAAATTTACTAATTTAAAAATAAATTATTACTTAATAATGAGGATATATTATTTATTAATATTCTGTATTTATTGCTATCCCTAGTTGTTATTATTAAGATCATAATTTTTCATTAATAACATTTTTATTAATCTAAGAAAGAAAAAAGTTACTGTTATTTTAATGGGAGTGATTATTTTCATGTCATTGTAAATAATGGTAGCCATCAACCATAGATTGTTTTCTATCAAATAATTTTAATTTTAATTCCTATAAAAAGTGGTGATACATCCAGTTAAAACTTTCAAAATAGGGATAAATCTAATTTTAACAAAATTTACTTTGTTTACCTTATTGTACAATTGTATTGAAACAGAATATAACTAAACCTCTACAGGCCTATTTATATCTTTGGCTAACTCTCCGGGGACGTGGGGCAGGGGTTGTAACATTGTTAACATAAAATATTTTCCAAAAATTAAATTATAGAATATTAGGAAAATTAGGAATAAAAGATATATAAAATGCAAATAAAAAATCTACAAAACTACTGATATTACAAATGTGAGTATTTGTATGTTTATACAAATATAAAGAAAAGTAAACAGATTCTTATGAAATCCGCTACAGAGATAGATCTTATCCTGAGATCATCCACAGATGACATTTTAACAGAATTCTTGTGAGCAATAATGCAAAATAGACTGTGTTCAGAAATAGTTCTAAACAATTTAATAATATAGGTACTAGTTATGTTATAAGAAATCTAAGGACTAAATGACAGAGTGACTTATATCAAGACACTGCTAAAACATTGGGTACAGTAACATAAATTTTTCGCATAGACTTTTCGCGTATCATTTGATTTGATTTGTTTGGTTAATAAAATGTTATGAATAATTATAAAATTTTATTCACCAAACAAATCTATTAAAACTTAAAAAGAACTAAGAAAATGCCCCAAAAATTAGATAATTTCCAAATTTTAATATTCGTGCTATAAGTCGAGGTAGAGGACAAAGATTCATAAATATTTTCAAGTGCATCACCTGATGCTTCGAATTAATAAAAGTCATCGAAAACGTGGCGTGATTTAGACTATTTCAACGCATGTTTTTGATAAAATAAACCAACAGCAGTGTCGTGAGAAGCGAACAGCTGCTGCGGGCGTCGGAGCCGGCTCGCCGGCGCCTCTCTCGGCCCGCCACGCCACTAACAAATACCCGATATAGTCAAATAGGTTACAGCGAACTTTTCATGAGCATTTTGAACCCAACGATGGTCCCCAGGGAAAAAATAAAACACTCACCTATTGTAACAGGTATCATCCAACAACAAGCGTCATAGCGATCCAAAAAGAATAATCACTGCATAAATAATCACAATTCAACACTGAACATTTTGTAAGACATCCAACGCAATATTGCACTAAAGATTTTATAACCATCGATAACTCATAACAAAAAGCACGTAAACTTTTGTATAACACAAACACAAAAACGATATATATAAAAAGTTATTATCACAAATATAAACGGAATATCACACAAACGGATATCACTTTTCTACATGTCCTTGCGTTCACATAAATTGGCAGCCATCTTGCGTTCATGCGAATAAAAAAATGTTGCCAGTTGCTGAAATAAATTTTCCCTTAAATTTGTGGTCTATAGTCTATGCTCAAATATGTTTGTTCGAACCAACGTTATAATGAACATATATTATATCGCCATTATGTTCTCTTCAATATTTATGTTTAAATTATATATAAAAAAATATTTTTAATTATGATTATTTCTTTTTTGGATGATTACGCGGTACAGAAGATTGTAAAGAAATTATTTTGACATAATTAAAAATTTAACGCCGCTCCGTTTTAACTATTAATAAAGTTTATTAATAGTACAACTGCGATGAATTTTTAAGGTTTATTTTTTGTGAATTCAAAAATACTAAAATATTTATAACAGTGTTCAATTTATTTGCAAAACACGCAACAAACATTTATTTCTGATTTTTATACAAATTACGACGAACAGACAAAAAAATTGTTAAAACTATACTTAATACATAAAATAACGAAAAAAATTCAATTTAGTATCATCAAATTGCAGTGAGGTAGTCCAAATATTGAGGAATTTTAGTATGATCGGCAGTAGTAGCAGACTCTTAAGCTACAAAACCATCGTCTTTTAGAGCTTAAGAGCCTACTCATCTGCTGACTGCATCATCATCTTTTCATTTCAGAGAAAAAAGAAGAATTAAACTAAGATATAGTTTTATACACTAAGAACCAATCTAAAAAGATGCCATGAATATAGCTAGTGCGGTCAATTTGAATCTTTTTTCAAATTAATAATAAATATAATTGTTAATTTTTTTAATCAATTAAAAAAATGTAAACGGACTATTATAAGTACCGTATTATTAGTTGTTCACCTATAGTAGCAACATTTTTCCGATTCATAGATAATTTCCTTTTTTGCTCTTTTGAATTCGTAAAGCAAAGAATTGTAGATCATACGGCCTAATGAAGAAATATAAAAAATATCACTCTAGGATATAAATGACCATTTTATGATGTTTTACAATATGTTTTGAAAACATGATTTAACTTATTATTGATAAGTAAGATTCCTTATATGTGTCATAACTTAGTTCCATTTTTAACCACAAGTGGCGCTAAAATCGTATTATTTACAATTCTCTTACGTTTTCTTGTTGTTACAGCACGCACAATACAAAATGGCGGGTAGGTATGAGCAAATACAAATATTTGTTGTTATCATTAGGTGTGCTGTTAATACAAATGTATTTGTAATAGTAAGATGTAAATATCTCTAGGTAGATTGTGGGGATAAATACATGTCTATGTAAAGTATTTTTTTTATGGTTGATAATGAAATGATGCTTCCATCTGCGATAATGGTTGATAATATGAGCATGAAATCAGATCAGTTAGCTCATCTTGGTAAATAGCAATTTACCACGATTGTTTCTATGGAGAACCGCATGGAGGTCTACATGGTTACATATATACATGGTACAACTTGTTTCCCCCCATGTCATGTATTTATTTGACTTGACTTCTTGCCATCCTATCGTCCTCCTTAGTCGGTAATCGTGTACACGCCGCCGCCAGTACATACCATAAGAGAAAGCCGGTGCACCACTCCATATGATTGAGCGGTAGTCTTTTTCGGTGTTTTATTGGTTTATAAAGACTTATAAGGACCTAGTACACTATGCTACCTAACATAACAAGATATAGATTACTGTTTAAGAAGCTATTATGTTATTGACGGACATTTACTGTAATGTTAATATTATGTTATCTTACACAATTTGTATTGTTTTGGATGAATATATACATAAATAATAATCAATCACTAAATCATTGTTACATAGGTACTTTAATTGAACACCTACTTAATTATAAAGTTCCATTGATTATGTTGTAAGTAATCCCTTGACGGTTCCTTGTTACTAATTATAATAATATCTGAGGGCAATTCACACAGCGCCATCTAGTCTTAAGCTAAGAGGCAACTTGTGTGCGTGACGAATTCGACAGGATACACGACGGTTCCCTGTGAAAGCGTGTGGTCGACCACACGCTTTCACACTGACTTTGTATTTGGTGGGTTTTAGAAACAATTATACATGTTGCTACTGATAGGTAATGTTTGTTCCATTAAAATAAAACAACATAGTACTGTATGTAAGTTCATTTTTATTCCATAGATCAACTCTTTTTTTTTTTTGTTATTCTTTACTTATTGTTAATTACTTACAGACCATAGGTCTTACGAATTTTAACTTAAAATAATTAATTACCGTAAAACTTTATTTGTTAAAATAAAAATAAAGATTTTTTTATTATCAACATAAAAAAAGAAAAACAGTTTCGTCTCTGCAAAGGCAAGAATATAAAAAATGCAATTTCTCGCTCCCTGTTCCTCTCCCAGTAAATTTAGATATTTAACAAACATTTTTAGTAGAAGTATTAAAATTACCGCGCCTTCTAAAACGAAGGATTTAAAACTTACTTTCAAATTTAATTCTATGCTACTGTTATTACGGTTTCAATTTGACGTACCTATTTAACTGTTATCTTTAAAAAATGAAACTAAAGAATAAGTACCAATTAAATAATACAATCATTTTTGTAATTGGAATGCAGTGTATAGATTAACATTAACAATCCCGAATACAGATAATCAATAAAGAAAAAAAAATGCACATTTATGAACATAAACTGAAAGTCAAGTTCTGACTAGCATAAACAATCACACTCACTGTAGTTCTATAATAAGAGTTCACTCAATACACGCCACCCGAGTTCAACACATCCAATTCTAATGAAGGATCTAAATTTATGCAATTAAAAATCAAAAATAACACCACCATAATAAAAACCAATTCATTTACAAACAGACCAATTCGATGACATAACTAGACACAGTTTATAAGAAAGGACAAAAGGCATTTTGAAAATGGAATCATAACATTTTATTTTTAATAATTACCTTTAAATTGATTATTGAAAAATGAATTGCAATATATGTATAGATTTTATATAAATACAGGCTGTATGGTATATAAACCTTTGTCTGTCTATATAGCTAATTAAAAAACACTAGCATTGATTTTTTAATTTTATATTATAAATTTTTGAATATGGAATAATGACTTTATATTTTTTTAATACATGTAGATAATATAAAAAATTGTAAGGCCTTTCTTCTAAACTGTTTCAAATCAACATTAATTAAGATCCTTATTAGACAAAATCAATGGTACACAGACCCCGTCAACTTATAACTCCCTGTCCAACCGTTAGTTAAAGTAACTAGTAAAATTCCGATCCGGATGTCATATTGCTTTGTCCATCAAATCGTTAGTATTGTGTATCATTTAACAATAATACTCGTGTTCGCCATCTTCTGGTACTCCACTGGGAAGAATATATGCAACGCGCTCTCTATTTCACTGCGGCATAGAGGACAACGATTGCATCTGAAACAATACATATATAAATGTTATTTTAAATGATTTAAAACAGATAAATATTTTTTACAATAATAATATCTCGGGATAATTCACACAGCGCCTTCTAGTTGCAGGTTAAGCAAAGCTTGTGTTATGGGTACTAGACAACTGATATAAATATATAGTTTTTTTTTTTAATATATACATAATATATATAGAATAATCACAGACCGAAACAAACAATTATATTCATCAATATATTTGTTCGTAAAAAAATCTATACTGTGTCATTACTTCCGGTTTTTTGAGAATGTGGGACGTAAGATGGCGGCCTATGAACAGTGACTCGGACTAAGAGAGCGTCATACGAGCAGTCCGCCGAAACGGACGAGTTGTGAGCAAGTTTCTAATAATAGATATATAGACAATTTAAATTTATTACCTGGGTGCGCATTCTCCGCAGCAGACGACGTGTCTACACGGAAGAAACACGGTTTCCATCCCGTTGTCCATACACACACGACACGCCAGCGTCTCGCCACCGCCGCTTCGTGATCTTGAGCGGAACTCCTGTAACAACAAAACGAAATGAAAATTAGAATAACTTATTTATATAATACTAACATAGAAATAACCTTTAATCATATAAACTTAACATAAGCACTTTTGTATAGTCACATGTATATTTTACCACTCATTCGGAATGCAGACTCAACACAAGAAGAACAATTAAGTGTGAGAATCTTTTTCGTTCGCGTTTCTATCTTTAAATGTACACGTAAAAACAGACACGAGAACTGTAGTACACTCTTTCTTCGAGAACCAATTCTCGCGTGAAAGAGGGTATGTGTAAAGACAGATAATTAATAATAAATAAATAAACAACTTGGTAGCCATTCCCCAGACCTAAGAATAGATTGAATAGAATATTAATATTCTTTGTTCAAATAAAATTAAGAAGCACTGTTGAATATAAGAAATGATGAGTGCGTACCGTATTAGAGACTAAAATACCATCCTTATCATGTGGATCAATGGCGGTTCCGTTCGTGAGAACACGCGAACGGGAATTATTATTATTAATATAATTTTTGCCTTGCCATTGTGAAATCTTCCAGCAGTGGTATTTCCGAGTGGATGCGATATTGAAACAATAAAGAAAAGAGCTTATTCCTTCATAAAAGGCCGGCAACCACTTGCAATTCTCCTTGTGTTGCGGGTGCTCATGCGGTAATCACTTACCATCAGGTGAGCCGCAAGCTCGTTTGTGCCCTATGCTAAGAGAGTAGTCCCTACCTTGTTGTCGTTGCTGGCGCTGGATCGTCTCCTGGGGCGCGGCTCGTGCGCGGCGACGAGCGCGTGCGCGTGCTTTGCGCGTCGCGCTCGGTCGTGCACCTCGCGGCACGTGCGCCGGATGTCGAACACGTAGCGGCGGCCCAGCGTCGACGAGTCGTTGAAGATCGACGCTATTGTACCCTGCGGACCACACAAACATTAGTTTTTATAATACAACGTTCGCAAACAAACATATGTTGTAAACGGTCTAAGTAATCTGCTTTAAACGGACCATCTGATGGTAAACCGTTATCGTAGACTATGGACGGATCCGGCTCGAAGGACTATTGATGGGTTCTTACTCCTCGAATAATCAAGCTTGTGTACAAACTGTACTATACCATACTATGTATATTTTTAAAGTTCTAAACTTTAAATTATAAATATATACATGTTTACAAAGTATGAAATTAATCTCTTCGGCTGTCTGTACGCTTGTATCTTTCAAACTACGCAACGTATTTTAATGCAGTTTTAGTAATAGATAGAGTGTTTCAAGAGGAAGGTTTAAATGTATTATAAAAGTACCGTGCGACGCCGGAGCGTGTAGCTAGTATAAACAAAACCTACACGTAATTATAAATGATCTTAATATTAAACTGTAATAATGCTATTATTACGCGATGTGATAGTAAAAATATCAATAGTTAATTCTTAATCTGCTTTATCATAATCAAATAAATTGAATCCACGGCCTATCTACCCGATAGCGAGTAGTTAAGCTATATCCCGGATCTGCCACTTGGTAATATAACAAAATGACGCATCGAGACAAATTTTTATATCATTATTAGACATCCAGACAAGTACTTTAAATTATGTTAGATATAGGCTAAATGATGGCCTCAATGGTCAAACGGTGTAGGACTGCTTACTTCCAATGTTCGCAGGTTCGATGTCTAGCACGGTATAAAAATTTGTATTCATGAGTATGATTGTTTGTATCGGTCTGGGTGTTTTCTATGTATATTCGTAATTACGAAAAATAAATATGTATTTGTATCAGTTGTCTAGTACACATAACACAAGATTTCCTGCAAAATATCTTTCGAGTATTATCATCATCTGCTTCTTCCTTATCCCATTTATTTGTGGTCGGCGTAATATGTTTTTCTCTTCCATTCATCCCTGTTCGCAGTCATCTCGTTATTTACTTTTTTTCTTACCACATCATGTTTAATACAGTCCAACCATTTCTTTTTCGGCCTTCCTCAACCCTTATAAGCATCTTGAAAAAATTATATTCTAAATTCAATTGGGTTTCTACACTATGATGTTGTTATACAATGTATGTAACAAAATCGTCAACTTTTTAGTGCACGATGTATGCAACGTGCAAAACATATTGGTTATTCCGTGCACGTTGTTAAAACCGTGCGGTGCTATGACGCGGCTCGAATAATTTATTAAAAAAAGACGACTCAAAGTTCACCGGATTTGTGAAAACAAAGTAAAGTTAACATACAGCCGAACATAATGGTCATATAGGCTGTATGAACTTGTATCTTTGCCTTTCTATTCGTACATAAAAAAATACTACTGTTAACTAATTAATATTCATGTAACTGACAATTAATATTGTTCAGGTACGTAGTTTGGTGAGTCATGCATCGTTCGGAATTATATTATCACCATCATCATCATTTCAATCACTCATTGTCGCAATAAGATAACTGAGTCAGAATTATGTAACCCATGATAATATAAATGGCAAATAATTGTCCTTACAATTGCCATTCTTAGCAAGAAGGCAGATTTAGTGCTAACTAGCTACCTACCCCGGCTTCTCACACACACATATATAAAGCATCCTATTGAATCACACTATCTATTGCTAAAAATTGCATAAATATCCGTTGCATAGTTTAAAAGATCTAAGCGAACAGACAGCGGAATCGACTTCATTTTATACTATGTAAAGATAACTAAAATACATGAAGAGATATTGATTTATTGGAGAAAAGAATGAAAAAATCTGGTAACAATTGTTGAATAGCAAAGGCCAAAGATAGTGCCTTGGGTAACACCCACGTTAGCAGTCGATTGCAGTGACTTGACGATGATGAAAAATAACATTATGTGAGATATCTACCTTGAGATCCCTAATGAACTGTTCAGTGACATCGCTGCGGACTGTCTCGCAGCAGTAGAAGGCGTGCTTCTCAGTGACGGCGCGGTACAACGCGGCCGCTTGGCCCGACGTCGCCATCTTGACGTGTAGTGGTGCTACATTGCCGTCAGCAGTCACGTATGACAGCTGGAAGAACCGGCGGAGTGGTTGCGCCCGATGGATCGCCGTATATGGTATACTGGAATAGAAATGAATTAGAAATTAATATTGCAATATTTGTTATTACCAAAAATTTATCAAGTGAGTAATTGATCTCCCCGTATTTTATTACGTAATTCGTCATATTTTGGAGTTCCTCCCTTCCCTACTAACATGTAACATATTTAACAATACACAAGTAAACCAGTAGAGGATTCGCAATTATTTAAAAAAAAATCTTTAATAAATTTATAGCCTGTGTAATTTTGATGTATAAGCTATATTACTGCAAAGTTTCATCAAAATCCGTTCAGCAGTTTTTACGTGAAAGTGTACCAAACTTTCGCTATTTCGCTATGAATAAGACTGAGCTATTTAAAAATATATGTACAATTGGCGAGGTCACCATAGGTCATTATCTACCAGCTAGCCATTGGGTAAAAACAGAAAACGGTTAAAGGTTATATGCGCAGATTAGTGCAAAAACATTATACGAAATTAAACTCAGTTCTTGACTTAACATTTATAACCTTAAGGCATTACCGAATAACTGCGTAGGTAATGAGTAAGCACATTATCATTATTGCCTCACATAAAACAATTACGTTCATAATTGTACATGTACAATAAAACATTTTTAGGATACCGTACCAAACAGTTACAACCCCATAATGCTGTGAATTGTCCCGATATATTGTTACTTTTAATCTAAACCAAGCGATTTCCAAGCACGTTAATGTCTAGATTCAATTTAGTAGCGGTTTGGTCGCCGAACAGTCTGCACTAGGCTTCCAAGCTACATCCGAGCTCTATTTAATGCCTGATGAAGCCGTTAGAGACGACACGTGTCGCAGTATAAGTGTAGACTCAATAACTATTAGAAAAGGTCGTAACGGTAGTCAAGTTATTTCAGAAATTTGATCACCAATAGAGAAATATTGCTTCCAGTCGAGTTGGGCATGTTTCCGCACTGAATATTTGTGGCCTCACGCATGTTAATTGTAGCGGAATAAAACAAAATAACACAAATGCATTGAGTAGTAGATTATATTTGTTATATATAGATATTTTATTATTTGTTTAAATGTATACGAAACCGGAGTTTTTCCTGACCTGGTTCTAAGCTCATCTTATGTTCCTCCACTCCACACGTTAGAGCAGGCTTGTGCACTACATATATCATTATCATAAAAAAACTCCTTATTTATAAGATTGACTCGCACTTTTCCTGTTTAGATATATATATTGAAACTTGTAATAGTATAGTTAAATCGGCTGTAGATATGTGTAGATGACGTTCTCTGGCCTTTGCACTTCATGTTTTAGTACAAGCAATTTACTTACAAATTTTCATTTTTTTTGCTAAAACATCCTGAACACACAAAGTTGATTACAGTAGGTAGCTACGCTATTGTTTCAATAGGCTTTGTATGTTTTTGTTATACAGCAACGAACGTTAGTAAAGAATAAAAAAAATCTTTATTCAAATTATATTTTTTTTTTTATACCACTTAGGTGGCAAACAAGCATACGGCCCATCTGATGGTAAACGGCTACCGTAGCCTATGGACGCCTGAAACACCAGGGGTGTCACATGCGCGTTGCCGACCCTTAAGAAACCTTAATATACCCTTCTTGAAAACCCCCATGCTGTAGTCTCTCGAGAAAACCTCGGCAGGTAGTTCATTTTAAGTGTACGCAGCTCCTCTGAAACCGCACTGTACGAGACCACTTAGGTTCCAGCGTGTGGGGATGAATTCCCTGTCGATGGCGAGCGGTGCGATGGTAAAAGGTAGCCGTAGGCATCATGTCAAACAAATTTAAGTAAGTACGTTTTAATAGTCATAGTTACTTTTTCATCTACCACTCATTTCGAAAGCTGTGTCATCTCAACGAAGAAACTAAAAATTTGCATGTTGCTCTTGAAAATAATTGTTGTAACTTTACATTTTTAAGTAACAAAATGCAGTAACTCATTAGAGTCAAAATATTATTGACTTGTTCACGAGTATGACGGATGAGTAGGTAGTTATCTATCTCTTATTAACTATATATATCTAAGTTTTGTATAATTACAATTATTCTAGATTGCTGTTCTATTTATAATATATAGTTTACTACCCTGACCTCAACGGTTAAGATATCAAAAATCGACGACAGAAAAAACTTCGTGTCAAATTATACTTCTGTATCTGCGTTGGAACACCGATAAAAAGAGGACAGTGATAGTAATGGGTATTTTTAAGCATTAATATATAAAAAAAACTAGTTGATAAACGATGTTTTGTTATATAAATTATTTCTGGACAGCACTCATATCGCCTAGTTGTATAAACAATAACCTATAACCTATTTTCAGTTCTGTAAGTTCTTCCTATTAATTATTATTATTTGAGTGACAATATCGTATCAAATAGGACTAGACGCCTAAATGTATGTTAGTTCTAAACATTATGCAGGCTCTATAATTCGACCATAATTAATTTACAATTTATTTAAAACATTCAGAAAAACTATAGACAAATACTAAAGACAAACAACATTAATGTATTCTCAATTTGACCATAAACAAAAGAATATACATGTTTGTATGTCAAATAGGCACATAGTGGTGTGTGTAATATTGTTTTATTGATTTAATGTATTTTTTATGTATAATTATAAAATATAATATCATTCTGCATTCATCCTTACTTCCTTACTAATATTATAAATGCGAAAGTAACTCTGTCTGTCTGTCTGTCTGTCTGTCTGTCTGTCTCGCTTTCACGCCAAAACTACTGAACTGATTTAAATGAAATTTGGTACCCATATAGTCTAGACGCCGAGGAAGGACATAGGCTACTTTTTAATGCGAAAAAAGGGTTGTAAGGGGTTGAAAATGGTAATGCAAGGTTATCTTTATGCGGTTGAATACACACTTATTTATAATAATGGCTTAACTAAAAATTAGATATTTTGGAAAGTCTACTTTATAATTGTGTCATTAAGTCTATTTTCAAAAATTTTTAATTTCTGAATTACACCAGTATTGTACTAGATATGCGACTTATTAACGCTCATATGTCATAAATAAACATATATGTCATTTGTATAAGCAGCGCGTTGCGCGCGCAACTGATTATTGTCAATCCGTTGTCTCCTTATGAATTTAAATGAATAAACGTTTGCTCTGCAATTTTATTTTATAAATACACAAATATAATCCTGGTATAGACTATAACTGATGACCCTGCTCTTGGACAAGAGCGTAAGAACATATTATTAATGTTTTTGAAGAATAAAACAACATATAATATTAAAAATGTTGTCAATACATATGAACAACATTTCCTTGGAAGAAACAACATCTACCGTTCCATCCGAGCTATTCAGGTTCGGAATACGCGTTTCTCCATTCTGGCCAGTAGAGTCAGAGATATGGTTCGCGCAAGTAGAGGGATAGTTTGCAATTTAGAATATCACATCTATTATTTTGATTTAACAAAATTTTATTATGTTATTGGCCAACTGACCACCAATTTTCAAAAGAATTTAAAGAAATGTTTAAACTGTTTATTAAATATAAATAAATATGACATTTAAATTTGTAAATATCACATTGTCACCATTCAAGGGGTAAAATAAAATAGCAGATAAAAGTTGTTATGGAAATTCGTCATATTTGAAGCTAGAACGATGAAGCTTTTTTCTTACGCTTTTTTGGGTCAGTTTATTTAATAAATACCTTACTAATATTATGAAAGTGAAAGTTGTCTGTCTGTCTTAAAAGCCAAAATGAACTGATTTAAATGAAATTTAAAGTCTAGATCTTGAGATAAGACATAGGTTACTTTTTAATGATAAAAAGGGTTATAAGAGACTGAAAGAGGAATATTTTAAAAGTTTAAGCTTCAATCTTATTTTTTTGCGTATTGATTAAATATAATTAACGAAAATGGGTTGTAAGGGTCAAAAAGTTAAAATGTTGTATGCATGTATTGTCATTTTTTTTAACTTGAAACACATTTTTTAGGCTGTTGAGAAAATATCAGAACCTACCGCCACAAGCCATAAATGGTTACAGTATAGCGACATCTTATCATTGGTACATGATGAACTAATATAAGTAGCATTAAAAAAAAACAAGAAAAAGGGTTATTATGTATGGTATGTATGGAAGTATCTTCATTTTAAAGATAGTAGTTTGAAACTTAGTTTTTGGCTGTTGATTGAATTGTATGGAATTATGTATGGAAATTTCATTTTTGAAGCTAGAACGATGAAACTTTTTTATTGGGTTAGATTATTAATATATATTTTTTATTACAAGGTCCTATTTTAAGTCGTACAGCTAGTTCTCTATATAAACTATAAGTGTGCGAAATTTCATACTCGTCCGTCGAAATTATAAAGTTTTGGCCTCACGTATTTATGTATTTAGACATTTCTACTATGATGTGATGATTATTATTCACTATATTAATTAAAAATCATAAACATGTGTCTTAGTAACAGCGCAATAAAACCAGTTATCTAGTGATGATGCTCCTCTTTGTTTACACTCGCATTACGCAAATACTTCTGTACTTTGAATTTTGATAAACAGATCATTTAGAATTTTGTAATCTGTAATCCATTGCTAAGTACTATACAAATATAGATTAATAGCTGACCCGGCAATCGTTGTTTTGCTCTACATATTAATACCGCTATTAAAAAATAGGGGTTGATGGTAGAAGGTTGAAAAATTAGGGTTGTATGTATATTTAATGCCGATTCCACAACAAAAAAAATATTGTCCAAAAAATTTATATCAATTGTTTTTGAGGTGGACCAACCTTTTCACACGGCACACAACCAATAACACTACGTCCTCAGACCTATTAAATATGCGCACTACATAAGAATCGGTCCTGCCGTTTGAGAGGAGCTTTGTTACAAACGCTGTGACACGAGAATTTCATATATTAGACATATTTCATAAGGTTGTAAAACGATAATAATATATAAGAACATGTGATTTAGATTACTAATCTAACTAGTTAAACAGGCTTTATTATTGAAGAATTAAATACATTATTTTGAAACAAGTTGTATCGTAAACATGTCTATAATACCATAGTTAATTATAAAATTTTGCATTAAGTGCTGTTACCACTGACCATTTATATTATAGTTACCTACTTCAGAAATTTAATCACCAATAGAGAAGGTCGTAACGCCTCCAGTAGCTGTGGTCATATTTCCGCACAAAATATTTGTGATCTCACACATGCTAATGGCAGCGGAATTAAACAAAATAATATATATCTGTTAAGTAATGAGATGGACAGTCAAATAACACCTAATTAAATGAAATATAAAGATATTTTGTTTTGATTAACTGAATGGAATAAAAATTGTAACCAATTAATATGAAATTTTTATAGATAAACTGATAGAAACACCATCGTGTTATCGTTTGAATTCGTAAATAAACTATTATCTGTGAAAAATAGAACTGTGTCTTCAAACATTGATAAGAACGGTCGTTGTGTAAATATTGTGTATCAACACGTATAGAGGTTATGTTTGTAACACCATGTATGTACTTAAATTAGTACAAGTTTAGGAGATATCTGAAGAAATTAGTTTAAAAAACATTGTTATATATTTTTAGACTATAATAGACAATTGACAATATTATCTGTTGCAAATCAGTGTTAACTAAATGTAAGGGACAATTTTAAATTCAACCTAGACCATTGTGCAGGTCAGCTTTAAAATTCAGAGCAACCTATAACAATTTGTATTCATGAGTTTGGATCAGTCTGGAAGTTATCTATGTACATTATGTATTTACTTCACTTTATCTACTACTATGTATTTATATCTGTTGTCTAGTGCCCATAACACAAGATCTGCTTAGCTTGGGACTAGAAGGCGCTGTTGGAATTATCCTGAGATTATTTTAACATTCGTGTTTGCTTATCAGTTGCCCCGACCAAGTCAATGTTACATTGCTGTTTTTGCGTCACATATCAAATAAACAAAGAAGTTATTATTCAATTCTTCCGTACTTATTTTTAAATATTTGTTAATTATATTAAACTAGGGATCAACCATGGCTTCACACGAGTTTATACTGTTGTAGTTGGCCTTCAGCCGCTCCATATCCTTCCGCGGGTTTGGAATTCCATCTGAACTCACCCCCTATCGTTCGATGAAGCTGTAAGGCCAGCTGCGGCCACCCACATTAGAATAGTTCGAAAAAATCAAATTTTGACATTTAATCGTCAGGTAGAACAAGACTTATCATTATTACATGAAGTGATAAACACAATCAAAATCGTTTTTAAAACCTGTTCCATTATTCAAATGAGTCAATAACAAAATGAATACCAACCTTTGTTTTTCTACACCTATTTCCTGCTCGCCATTGCACGCTGGTCGGTACACCACGATCCCATGAGGTCCCACACCAACACTGGTACTCAATCTGCATCCACAGCCACCGCCAGTCTGTCCCGATGCTAAACAACCAACGGTTGCCCCACCATCTATCTCCTGGTCAGATTCCCTAGCCCTCGGCTCCTCCGTCTGTGGTCTATGGTATAGCAGATGATTGTACAAATTATGTGCGTTGTTGCTCTCGTTTACAGATTTGCAGAAAAATAGCTCTTCGCCAAAGGACTCAAGGTTGGAAATTTCTTTAAGAACCCTATATTCCGCTTGTGATTCCCTCATGCCGGCAATTTCGCAATGATAGTCTATTATTTTCTCCATGTGATCTTCCGGTTTCTCGCCCTGTGGTCCAATTTTGTCACACTCTTCATAAATATGAGTGGGTGGGACATCTGGGTCGCAGTCTCCTGTCTCCGCTTGTGCTATGTAAGCTATTATCCGTCTGGCTACCTCCCAATCAGCTACGACCAGTCTACCTTCAGTCAGATCTAATTTAGCGTGAAGGTAGAACTGATGGCGGGTCGGTTCGTTAATCAGCAGATGTGGGGGCACCCAGAATTTGACTCGTAGGTCCAGCCGACCTCCAGGGATGCGGTGAGGGTCTAACGGGTTCCTCAAGTTCAACCATCTCCCCGGTCCTGAGCCTGAGTTCACTCGTAGTCCAAAATAGTCGGCCTCAGCGCCGATCTCCAATTTCTCGCATACCTGCAACAATTACAACGATATATTAAATTTCTTTAAGCTATTATTAGTTTGCTGTTTAGTACGATATTGTATCAAATCGAATCTAACCAAATGTACTTTATGTCAATGACACTTATAATATGTCAAATCTAACGTCAGTTCGGAGTGCCTTCAACTGAGAACTGAGACACAAAACTGCATAATAAATACACATATAAAGAACCCTCGATCATTTACAATGGACTCGTCGAGAGTTCTTTATAAATATACTTACGTTGGAAAAGACCCATGTCTGTACAAATCTTTGTATTTAACAATAAATAAAAAATTAGAAACAATAAGTTGAGTCAAGTCGGCCGGCATTTCTTTTAAATTAGACTGAGCATAGTAACTATTAAATTATAATATGAGTAAGTATCTAATTAAATGTACTTTGTAAATGTAAATTCTTATTATATTATAATATAGTTTCTATGTATACATAAGAAGATTAAATTGATAATTGGTGAGTACAAGCATAATTATCGTGAATTCGAGATATATATCAACTTGGCGACAGTCCAACCCTATACATACATTATATTTATATCGTCAAATATCCGTACAGTCATACGATAACGCACAGACAAGTGACTAATTAATTAAACAAAAGGTGACATTGATTACCTGCCTATCGTGACAAAACTAACACAAAAAAAATGTGAAATTACAAAAAAATTAATTTGACTAAATATCCGGGAAAACACTGGTAACAAACTAAACTAATCCTAAATACAATTCAAACATACTCAAACCTAAAAGCGAATATAGCAAGTTAATTGGGCGATCACTGTGGCAGTGAACCCTATCACCCACGGTCCTGAAAGCCTGTATAAACATGGTCATTTAGTCTACATATATATATTTGGTTATAAAAATATCTATATATATATCTGCTCTTATCATGTAAATACGATAAAAATAATACAAAGTTACACATGATAGCACGTTGTTTCAACAAGACTTTATCGTAACTCTCAAGTTATAAATAAAAATCTATTGACAATATAAACAGAAAGTTTATAATTTGGTAGCACGATTGGTCAGGCTGATTATTTGTTTAATAAAATCTCTTCTAGCATTAAACAGCATAAAGATGTAAGGTATCTTAATTCAAATAAACTTAATAGTAGAGTGTCTACGATATAAAGGGTAACTATAACTACCTACCTAATGTTACTCAATTTTAGACCAACTTCTTAGCATTAGTGAATCCATGGAGGATTCACCGTGCAGGTGCAAAGTCCATCGTGTGGCACAGAGGGAAACTCCGAGCAGTTCCCGGGACTTAAAACCCAGGTTTAGGTTTAATCACCTGCCGACGTACATCAACACTCACCTTCACCGCTCGTGTTTGTCTCCCTATGAGCCCAGATAAATCTAATAGAAGCCTGCTAGTGCAGCTTTAGATACACGTTCTAGTATAGAACTTACTGCAGTTCTAGTCAAGTCAAGATGCTTAATTACTTTTTAAACAATGCATTTTATTCAACATTACCGTATTATTTTCTTTGTTTCACAACTTTGTTTACTATGTCCAACGTACTCACAGACATATTCCACGTGTAATACAATATGTTCTGTAATCTGACTCTAAGGGTAATGTGTCAATGGATAGCATATTATTCTGTCTCTAACTACAATACTCTAAAGGTTATCAATGTATTTATATGTACATGAGTCAACATGAGAAAACGATCGTCCAATTTAGTAAAGAACCTCGTCTGAGGTCGCGATTTTGGTGTATGATTTAATTTGGAGTATCTTTAAATGCCACTTTTCCTTACATTGTCTATAATCCTGTTTTTTTTTATTAATGTATTTTTTGTTTATATCAGAGATTTAAAGTACGATGGGACTGTTGTACCAAAAGTGGACAAAAGTAAGTATAAAATGAAATCGCTTCCGCTGCTTGTTCGCTTATATCTTTTAACTACGCAACGGATTTTAATGCAGTCTGTATCTATTGTTGGATATAGGCCTTTCTCAATGCTTTCCACTATGTGCGATCTTCCGCCTTCCGCATCCATCCACTCCTCAGCTCATCTTGCAAGACGCCCGACACTCCGTCGACCCGTACGCGGCCTCCAATTCCAAAGTGACTTTGCAATTAGATACGAATATAAGGTGACGAACTTTATCATTGCCATTTCAAGGCAAATATAGATAGCGTGTGACTAATTGGTTACAATAAATAAAAAAAAGTAAATAACACATTCTATTATTTATTGCATGCCTGTAGAAACACTCATAATTTTATCTTGCATTGAATGTGTTACTTTAGAAGTGATGGCCTTGGAAATAATGGTAGCATTGTTTATCAACTCCTGTCCGTTATCAATCATTTGGCCGCAGGGGGGAGGGGGTATTAGTAATAAGGACTAGCAGTTCCATTATTAGAAATGTGTCAATTCCTTTGCTTGTATCCTTCTCATCGTATCATCCTCCATTGATTTCCCACCTTTGTAAACCGTAAGCACAGACTAGACCACAATTTCATCAACAGAAACTTTAAAGCCTGTTTTTAATCTTTCATTCAATCTACAAAGTTCCAAATTTAAAGAGTTTTAAAAACTTAAATATATATATTTATATATATAACATAAGCTGCCAGTACTTATTAAGTCAGCAAAAATAATCTCAGGCTGCACTATCTAGAGAAAACCTTGGCAGTACGCAAACACGACTTTTATTATTATATAGGAAGTATGACAAGGTTTCGGCGAAATATAATTGAGTGAGTGCCTACCAGACGTGTACAGGACAAGGTAATTTTTATAATGCCCCGATACTGGCTTTTTCCCGCGTAATTTCAAAGAATCTCATTATAACGGTTGCTGATTGGATGCCTCAATTATTTCTTACGGCATCTCTTCAATTTTCTTTTCCGTCTTGACAGTAAACTGCAAAAGGAGGCTTTAATTTGACAGTATGGTAACTTGTGTTTATATTACACTATATATTTTCCTTATCTTTTTTATAATCTACTGCTGTTATAGTGCCATAAAAAAATTAAAACATTGGTATTTGATAAAATGTAGATAAGTCTTAGTATTTTTAATGATTATAAATAAATAGCTTGATATGCTCTTGTTTAACTTTCGACGGGTTGAAAGTAAAATCCGCCATTTTGAATATATTTCAAGAACGCCATTTCGTGTTTACTAAAGCTGAGCACGTGTGCGTAGCATCTTCAAAGGGTCGGTGACCGACTCCATAATAGTTGCAAGACTGGTCGCGGAATATGACCTCTGTTACTAAAACTCTATAGTACTTGCTATCATAAATTTACAATATTTTAAATTTCGAACTTTATTCCTATGCTATTGTTAGAATAAAAAAAGAAACGGTTAAAACAGTTAAGTGCCTACCTACTTAAATGCATTTCCATTTTATTTTTACGGCTCTGGGTATTTAAGTGAAATATTTAATAGGTAGAAATATATGTCACGTGCGATAACTTTGTAAACAATGTAATATTTTAGCGCGCTGACACTTTTGACATAAACAAACATTTCTAACAAAGTAGGTACCTAATAAATAATTTATGTGACAACAAAAATGATTATTGTACTTGTAACCATTTACAAATTAAGTTTAGAGGTTATGTAGGTTGATATTTAATATGTAGAAAGAATAGTAGTGCATGATTTTTAACTTTAATTTATATTTACCACTCATATTCGTATTTTAAAAGTTTAATGTCAAGTACCTAGTAACGATTATAAAAGATTTTTATCTTTTAAATATAGAACAATATTAATAAATCAATGACCTGTGACAATATAGAGGATAAGCTAATGGCGATCACATGCCATAAACAATTTATTTTACTTTTAAAAAGATATTCGACTTATTGATATAGAACTGAAATTGTATGTACCTACATGTTAAATGTTATTATATCTCTGCAACAATAACGACATTTTGATTTGATTTTAAGTGTGATTTTATTGTCTGAGCTATAATATATCTTTATAGGTTAGAGGTAATGGTAAGTAATATACAAATGGTATATGGTCATATATAATAGATGAAGGTCTAATGTATTTATAAATCATTACATTATAATAAGCAAGTGGCGTCGATTGGGACCTAAAGACCAATCCAAAAACCATAAACACGCTTGATAAAAAAAAGAAAATAAAAAATAGATAGTTCATAAACTAAGGTATGTTGATTGTTGTTTGTATTGCTACTTATATGAATAATTCCTAAGCCTACTACTTAAAAATATTTTTTACAATCTTATTATTGACTCCAAACTTGTTTACATACTAATGTTATTGCGACAAGGTACATAAGTGTTTACATATACTTCGTGACCCCAGTATCTAAGCATTTAAGTACACAAATTTGTAGTAAGTGAAAAATATTGTTCACTCATAGCAGTATATTTATATGCACGAACCTCTACTTATTCATAGATAGTTAAAAAAACGAATGCAAATCAGAATAAAGAGGTGTCGTGCAGTGTCGTGGCATCGGCCAGATGTTTTCTCTCCATCTTCTTTACTCAATATTTGCGTCTCATTCCCGCGCGAGGTAAATAGCTGCAGCACGCATGCGACGCGTGTATTGTGCCTGCAACTAGTTTATAAACAAATCTAACAACAAATCGTAATACATCTGCAAGCACTGCAGTCTCTACAAATGTCTGCTATGGATTATAATATAAAATCGCACGACCGGTCTGAATGTGTACCCAAACATTAAATAGCATTAACGCCAGCCAAATGTGTACTTTGTAGACGTTGATGTATGTTTCAGTTTAAGAGGAATTACATGAAGAAATCTAAGATTTTAAGTATTCCCTCAAACAGTACAGTACATTTTATACCTAAACTTATCTATTAAAATTATCAAGTAGGTACAAATTATTTGGGGTCGGGACAATGTTTTCATTATAAATTAAAAAAAAAATTAGGCCACGGTCGCTCTAAGTGTAATGCCGAGTTAACAGGCTTCAACTCACACTGACT